CCCCGCAATGCGGGCTCAGGGCGGCTTACATGGAGGCAACGCCAATATAAAACATAATTAAAACCATTTAAAATCCCAACAGTACAAAACATTTTTAACAAGTTATTGACTAAAGTGCTCTAGGTGTTCAACATGGTATTTCACAGATGGCGTATTTCGACTATTCAGCATCATCTGCTCCAGGGAAGCGCTGATATTGGAACCCTCCAAGTAATTTCTCTTTTTTTCCCCAGTGATCCGAGACTAGCGATAGTCCCATATCGCTAGACTCATGCCACTTGTAAAAAAAAAAATTAAAATGTAAAACAACAAGGGAAAAAATAATCTTTTTCTTGTGCACCGATGAATGGCAGCAGGTACAGAGTGGGCGGAACAACCTCAATGTGGACAGGAGAGTGACAGCTAATGGGCGAGGGAAATCCACGGGAATCTGTACACTTTTGAATTACCTTCAGCTCGAAAGCAAAACAAGGGAAGAATCGGCACAAAACCACTCTGAGAAAACCTGGAAAAACAGTGGCTAGAAAGTGAACTGAGTGATGAAGGGGAGGAAATCAATGCAGAATGAAAAAGAAAACCTGACAGAGATGCCTAACAAAAGCAAGGGAAAACACCCGTGTATAATAGGCCAGTGAGAGGCATAGGGCGTTGTTTTTAGTAGACAGTTTGCTATTCAGCTATTTTGGCTGCTCTTCACCATAGTTCCCATTTTATTTATTGAAATATTTGTACTCCGTCAGGGCTCTTTTTGTAGCAGGAACTCCTTTGCATATTAGGCCACATACCCCTAATGTAGCCAATCCTCCAAGAGCTTACAGAGTTCTTCTTACAGGAGCTACTGTAAGCTCTTGGAGGATTGGCTACATTAGGGGTGTGTCGCTTAATATGCAAATGAGTACCTGCTACAAAAAGAGCCCTGCCCGGGGCGGCGGGTCCAAATATACCTGTGCAGGAAAGATGTTCAGAGCCCCTGGGTTGCCTCACTCGATAGGGGATGTCAAATCGAAAGCATGGGGAAAAAACCTCTTATAATGACCTTTGGTGCACACATAAACCACACTGGGAGGTTTGTCTTACGAGCCACTCTGTGTATCTCCAGTTCAATTCAGTTCCAGTTTTGATGCAGGCAGACATGAGTCCAAAAGTCCAAGAGAGATGGCAGCAGACAGGATGTCATTATGGTGAAAAAGAGGGGCAAGCAGAGGAAGTATGCAGGGGGAAAGCTTAACCAACTGAAGGCCTATGCTAGAAAACCCATATGGCACCTAGGGTTGCCAGCTCTGGGTTGGGAAATACCTGGAGATCTGGGGGCCGAAGACGGAGGAGGGCGGGGTTTGGGGAGGGAGGGACTTCAATGGGGTACAATACCACAGAGTCCACCTTCCAAAGCGGCCATTTTCTCCAGGGGAACTGATCTCTGTCGCCTGGAGATCAGTTGTAATTCTAGGAGATTTCCAATCAGGACCTGGAGATCGGCAACCCTAGCGCATACACACCCCCTCCCAATAATTTATTTATTTATTTATTATATTTTATATATTATATTTATTATATTTTATATATTATATATAATATATTATAT